GTAGCCGGGTTTGAGGGCTTTACCAAAGCTTTGGCTTTGGCGACCGTGGCCATGTTCTTCTCCAAGCGGCTCCTGGCGTCCGTCATGAGGTAATGGATGCGCTTGTCCGCCGTGACCTTGTCCATGAAGGCCTTGACCAACTCCCCGTTCGGGTTCATCTCCTGTGGGAGTGCAGCTTGAAGTTCCTTGAGAGCTCGCTGCACCATGGTCGGGTTCTCGCAGGCTGTGGTGTTCGCCGGAGCTCCTGGCTTTGGAGTGTAGTCCAGCCGCAGGTTGCACACAGCGCAGTGGTGCCAAGTCCCCCATTTGTTGGGCTGAGCCTTCATGTTCGGCACGCGCACGTTGAAGCACGGCCAAACGGTCGGCGACGACCTTGGATCCCGGGGATCTGCTTCCACTCTCCTCTCCTCGTCCAATTCCACGGGCGTGGTCTTCTTCGGAGCCATGTAGGTGAGAGGATCGGGACCGGAGCGAATTGGAGACGGTCGTAGGCAGATTGCCCATGAGCAAGAGTCTCCGGTGCCAAACATGTTCAAACCATTGACGATGTCCACTCTTCGAACTCGAACGAGACTCCGTGAGGAGGGGTGCACATTCCAAGACCATGTCGAGGGTGAATGCTGAAAGTGTGGCCGATTCAAACTGCATGACATGTACTCTTGGGTGACCTTGATGACATGTTTTGCCGTCACTCAAAAACTGAACCACGTCCAACATGAAGTGACCCTTGTGGTTGGTGACCAGGTGAAAAGGGGTTGCATCCGGGCTAGTGGCACAAACCGTGTAGCCATCTTGAAAATCAATCACCAAACCATTGCCCCGGATGAAGTCCATCCCAACCAACACGGGTACGTGGTCAAAATCTGCTCGATGTGCAGCTTGGGGGTCAGGTAGTACAAAGGCCTCAAAGGTTCTTGATGTAATACTTGAGGAGATTTTGACCAAGTACAAAGCCTGTCCCCAATCTCCTGACCCGAAGCGGAATTTGGGTCTCCTTTTGGCATCGATGGCGATTGATGCCTGGTTGTCTTGGGTGATCACTGCTTGGATCAGGTTGCGGATGCTGGTCTCAGGACCGGCACTGCAAGCTGCACCGCAATCGAGCATTCCAAGGCCTGTGGTGTCTTTCTCCACTCGGCCAAGTTCAAGGTCAGGTTGGTGACCCTGTTCTTCATCGAATTGAAGGCCGTGGAAGTCATAGTCCTCGGTGTAGTAGGCGTTGACATTGCCCTGGTTCTTGCTGCGAAGTTTTCCATGACCTTTTCCTTTGCCCTTGTAGTTGTAGCCCTTCATGTAGTTGATGAACTCCTCGAAGAAGTTATTCATCTTGCCATTGCCCTTTGCCCTTGTTGAACATGTAGTCCGTGTAGATCTCGTCGGCGAAGTAGACCTGTCGGCCTTTCCCTTTTCCTTTTCCACCTTTGGCATTGCGGCCAGGACATTCACGGGCCACGTGGCCTTTGTTGCCACAGATGAAGCAGCCATCGGTCTTCGCTGTAGCCGCACCAAAGCCGCGGTCTTTGCGAAGCATCTGGGTGCTCTTGTGAGCTTGTGACCAGGTCCTGTCAGCCGTCATGGCTTCAGGATCAAGAGGTGTTGAATCCTCTGCCAGGGAAACTTCTCCATCAGGTTCTTCTGGCCATTCGGAACTCTCCTCCCAGGCAGTAGCCGCCCAGGATGTTCCATCATCCCACCAATCTTCACATCCCCAGGTGTCCTCTTCCGCCATGTTGAAGAAGTGCGGAGTGCCATGTCCATGTGAAGGCGGTGAAGACGTTGAAGACCGGTGCATGATCTGCTCGTCGAACAAAACCGTGAGGGCCTCCCGGACGCTGTCATAGTCCAGCTGGTTCTTGGTTGAGGCCAAGATGGACCTCCATTCTTCGCTGCTAAGAGCTGCACCGCTGAGAAGCCGCCATCCTCGTAGTTGAGTGAGGATGAAGGAGTCGGTGATCGAAAGACCAGGAGGATCTCCTGCTCGAGCACTGCCAGGTCGTGAACCATCAGGGCGTGAGCCTTTGGAACCACCTTTGGAAGCGGGTGAAGATGGTGAAGGAGACTCAGAGGACGAAGATGATGATCCTGGATCCAAAAGACCAGCATGATCTTGATGTCCGCCATGTAGTGCCATGAGCGCCTCCAAGAACTCCTCATAGTAGAGGCTTTCCCTCACCAGGTAGGCATTGATGTTCTCGTGCCCCTGGCGGCGGTAGTTGAAGTACTGCTGAAGCACCGCAGCTGTGTTAGGAAGCTGCTTGCGCACCAATGGGGATTGCTCCAGCTTGCTCAGGAGGTTTTGCACTCCGTGGGTGCCGGAGAGCTCTTCAAGGCTCCATGACATAGCCAAAAGCCTTGCTGGTCCCGTGAGGCGAGCGACAAGACGAGCTCCAAGTAGGGACCTTTGGTTCTTCTTTGTTCCCATGGTGTACCAAAGAACTTCTCTTTGATACCGGCGCCATCCTCGAGGATTGCCATCCCAGGATGGAATGGTCTCGGCCACCTGCTTGCCCTCCATGGCCAAAATGGCGAAGGCAAGGAAAGAGAATCGCCTCTTGAAGGCAAGATGCAAAATGAAGACCTCGTTGAGGTACAGGAGAAAGTAGCCCTGAACTTGTAATGGATGAAGTCCAGGAAAAAGCTATGGACGTAGTCCCAAAAGGAGAAAGTCCAGGATGTCAAAGTCCTGGGTGTAGTGTCGATCAGCCCTAGCGTTGCCGGCCGACCGGAAAATAAGGATGCCCAATCACCGGCTCTCCCGAAGGCAGCACCACGTTGAGGCGTCCTCCTTCTCTGTCCCAACGTCCCACTCGCGTTGGCCGAGCTTGCCGAGGATCGCTGTCGAAGATGTCCCAAAGAGCCGCTGCAGCCCGTAGGTGTTGCGCTTGTCGGTGAAGGTCCTCACCAGGTTCAGGCTCTGGATCAGGCTCCGGGCGATCCCGAGGTCGCGAAGTCCTTGCGTCCACCTCAGCGCGAAGTTTTGTGGGGTGAAGATGTCGTAAGGACGCGAACCTCTAGGCGGGGATCTTGAGCGGTCCCGCTCGGTCCTTCTCGAAGGCGAAGCCACCGCTGAAGGTGAAGTCGGCCTCGAAGAACCGCAGGTTGTAGGCCGCCGCGAAGCCCCAGGCAAAGCTCCGCTGCCAATGCAACGGGATGGGTCCTAAACAACGAGGGGACGCAACCACGGAAAACCTATGGCGCGCTCCACCAAGGAGCAAAAACCCTCAGGCTACACAAAGTGGCACGCACCTTTTCGCTCGAGGCGAGCCGGGGCTCAAGCGCTGCGGAAAACAGTGCATGTCGCAATGTCGTCGCAGATGTCTTTAGGTCGGATAAGCCTTCACTTCTTTGGGGTCTCTTTTGGTTTTGCTTCCGGCCTCGCTCCTTTAGGGTTTCTTTGGTCTTAGCTTAGGGCTTCACTTCTTGAGGATGTCTTTGGATTTGACTCAGGGCTTCACCTCTTGAGGATCTGTTTTGTTTTGCTTAGGGTTTCGCTCCTTTAGGTTTTCTTTTGCTCTTCTTTAGGATGTCTTTGGGTTGGACTTAGGCCTTCACGTGAGGGCTCCTTTAGGATGTCTTGGGTTTCACTTAGGGCTTCACTTCTTTAGGGTCTCTGGTTGGTTTGGCTTAGGGCTTTGCTGCTTTAGGATGTCTTTCGGTTTCGCTTAGGGCTTCAATTCTTTAGGGTGTCTTTGGGTTTGACTCAAGGCTTCACTTCTTTAGGGTTTGGTTTGGTTTTACTTAGGGCTTCGCTCCTTCAGGGCCAGGGTTTCTTTTGGCTTGGCTTAGGGCCTTGCTTCTTTAGTATGTCTTTGGGTTAGACTTAGGCCTGCACCACCCCCCAAAAAACACTTCTCAGAAACCAGTCCCCAGGAACCACTTCCCAGAAACCAGCCCCCAGCAACCACTTCCCAGAAACCACTGCCCAGAAACCACTTCCAAGAAACCACTTCCCAGAAACCAGCCCCCAGAAACCACTCGCCAGAAACCGCTTCCCGGAAACCACTTCCCAGAAAACACTTCCCAGAAACCACTTCCCAGAAACCAGCCACCAGAAACCACTTCCCAGAAACCAGCCCCCAGAAACCACTCCCCAGAAACCACTTCCCGGAAACCACTTCCCAGAAACCACTTCCCAGAAACCAGCCCCCAGAAACCACTCGCCAGAAACCACTTCCCAGAAACCCAGAAACCACTTCCCAGAAACCACTTCCCAGAAACCACTTCCCAGAAACCAGCCCCCAGAAACCACTCGCCGGAAACCACTCGCCGGAAACCACTCCCCAGAAACCACTTCCCAGAAACCAGCCCCCAGAAACCACTTCCCAGAAACCAGCCCCCGGAGACCATTTCACCCGCGTTCCGAAACGAGCCGAATCCGCGTTCTGAAACGAGCTGAATTCGCGTTCCAAAACGAGGCGTCGGCCGGATTATAGGTACAAATTTGCTACAGCTAGTATTACTGTGATTGGGAAGGTCTCCAGTCGGATTTTGCACAGCTGTTAACTATGATTGGGGCAAGAATTTTAGCAAAAAACAGGATTGCCGGACAGGCGCAATACAAGTTTCACAAGAATGGGCAACATCAAGAAATTGAAGCTCCCACTTTACGTTTTAAGCTATTTTCTACGGCTGTGAGGCATTCAGCTTTTAGTCCTCAGACAGCCGAAATGCCTCACAGCTGGAGACTGCAGGAAGTTGCGCAATGAATCTGTCTGTTTAGTTGTGTTGCTTTAGAGAATCCGTGCCCGGACTGAATGACTAGAGCATGGTCCAGACGCATTTGACTAAAAGGGAGGAACTTCCACTGAGAAGACAACTGGTCAGGCTCATGTTCCTTGTTGTTGCTCAAGTGCTAGCACACTAGTCACACTATCATGCTGCACCTGACAACTTGAAGACTAGATGCAGCAATGCATCCCAAAGATGAGGTGGTATGTTGCTCAAACGAAAGCTTTCTTTGACCTAAAAAACAGCGACCCTCAGCAAGCAGCCAGGACGACCCCATCGATGCGCTGAGTATTCGTGATGACGCTCGGATCGTTTTTGTCCTCTTCCATACCAGCACAAATCTTTGGGAAGGTGGGCTGCAAGAGCAAATTATGACTGCTGGAAGCTGCATGTAACTATATACTATATATCGTCTTTGCAAGTCCTGGGGCACGTTGAAGTCAACCCGGATTAACACCTCCAGAATGGACAATTCTGGGACAAAAGCTTGACAAGGGCCATGTGGCACCCGCTTGTCTCTCACGTCCACTTCCTTCAGCGTCATCTTGCCCATCGCCTTACAGTATATAGAAGGAAGAGGGCCATCGGGCATCCTTTCCTAGTACAATTGCCTTCTCTTTCATCTGTAAACTTCCATTCGGCAAACAAAGCATTCAAGCCAAGCCAAGGACCATCTCAGCCTTGGCCCACGGGCGAGGGCCCTATGGCCTCGCCCCAAAGCCCAGGCAGCGTTGGCTGGAGCCAAATGCAGCGTGTACCAAGGCTGAAAGCTTCTGCGACATGAATTATCCTCGGCTCGGCAGACAAAGGCTGAAAGCTTCTTAACTTCTTCCAAAGTTGCACAAGGTAGACATATGTAGACATACACAGCTTCTCAAAGCCTCGTCTACCCAGGCCATCTGAACATCAGACTGCTCAATCAAAATAAGGGCATTCTTCTTGGGACCCTGCGACATTCTCAACTTTGGGACGGCAAATAGGAAGCTATGCAGACGGAAGTGCACTTGCAACCGAACATGGAAAGCGATCCCAAGCCTGCTCGCCCAGTTTGGAGCCAATCATGTATTTCTTTTCGAACAGTTGCTGTCGTTCCACAAACTTGCGGGCATTGCGGAGCTCCTACACTGAATGCCAAACGCATCAACGAAGCTGCCAGTCTGATGCTGTTTGCAGCAATTTGAAGTGAGAAATTGCAACAAACAAAATGTGCGGGCAAAGCGTCTAAGAACTTACTTGTGAAGCTCCGAATCGAAAATCTCCTCATTCATGAGCTCATCCACATCTTTCACTTGCTTCAAGAGCGTCTCGCGCTTGGTCTCTTTTCCCTGATTTCATTGATTTTCGTGATAACTGACTAAAATAGGCGACATGTCTGAAAAGCTTGTTGCCTCCTTTTTCTCCAGTTGCTTCAGAAATTGTCCTGTTCTTTTGGTGGCCTGAAGCATACAAAACTCCGAAAGCCACCCTCTCACATCGCTACCGTATTCACTGCCGCATTCGCTGCCTGCTTATTCATTGTTTTGAGGAACTTGAAGAGATCCTGGACCTCTTTTCGCGGAGGTGATTTCTTTTCGCACTTGCCTCAAGGCGGTGTCGAAGAAAAAGTGGTGGTACACTCAAAACATTAGCCATGTGACTTGGATCTTCCAGGGTCTTCATTCTGCTTGGCACCTTCTCCGGGGACAATCATGCCAACAATGCGCAAAACGCACTCAAGCAGGACTTCACTTCTGGCCTTCATGCCACGTTCAGTGTGCTGGACAATGGCACATTTTTGCCAGAACTTGATTGTCTCTTTGAACCTTCAAACGAGTCGAAAGGATGTGCATTGATAGCATTGACTATGTAAAATGGCTATATGCAACTGTCCACTGTCCATTTACTCTGTGGTTCTGGCTCTGGAGTCGAATGAAAATTTGGCGGAATGCACCTGTGGAAGGAATGATTTGTTGGCTGGATGTATGAAAATGCATTTGTATAGATGTTTACATCGTTGACTCCTGAGGAACGGGCCACTCTTCTTGGGTCAGCTCACCCTTTGGCTGCTTCATTTGGACCTTCCAACATACTGCTGCAATCACTGCCGTTTGCCTGTAGGCGCACTCACTCTGAGCCAAGAAAGCCCGGTCCTTGAGTTCTATTAATTTCTTTGCTCTCACATACGTGTCCTCGGCTTCAGAGGTGACTCAGCGCAAATCACGTTCAACCACATCGAGTACAAACATCGCTGCGCAAAACGTGTGTGCACATTAGTGGTGCACCTCGGGCAGCAATGTGGGAGCATTCGGATCCTTCTTCTTGGACTTGGGCTGCCAAGATTCCAGGATGCAATAATGCAAATCGTTGGAATACATATACAGCGAGAGAGAGAGAGAGAGAGTGTGTGTGTGTGTGTCGCGCCCTGAGCAAATGTTTGAAAGCCATCACCGGCTGTGGCACTACCATGCACCCTGTTCGTCCCTTGGGCCTTCCTTTTGATATTGATATTAGAAGTTGCATTGGGTCTGCAAGCTGAGAGACTTGAGGTGGCTGAGAAGTAGTATAACGTAACTTGGGACCCCAGGATAGGTTCTATCACATATCCCGTAGCTATAAATAGCTCCCATGATAGGTTCACGCCCAGGATCGCGCGCCTGGACTTCAATACCCTTTGGGCCCGTTGTGTACAGTGTGTAGTTGTAGAATAAGGTTCTATTGACTATCGCTTCACAAACACGTGCAAACAAACACGGCAAAGTGTAGAAGTTTAGGGAGAGCCGAGCCAAACACAGGCATGCAAGCGGGGACTGAACTGCAATGAGGACCGAAGAAAAACTAAGGAAAGTAAGAAGTGAAGACCAGAGCAGCTGAACATGGCTTCTAACTATTGCCATATTGCAAAATTGATGCAAGCCCGATGTGAAACCAGCACAAAACCGAACTGTCCAGTCTCGCAAAAGACCGCTTGACATCTGGAAGACCCTCTGCAAAATGGCAAAAGACTTTGCTATATTATCTTATACTTTGTATCATGTTATATCTTTGTCCGACTACTTTGCCCCTCGCTTAGTTGTAGCCATAGCCATTGACAGAGGCATTGTCAACATTCTCATGATCTTGGCCTCTACTACACCATGTGCTTTGCAGTCCTTTCCTTTGCCTTTGTTCTGCCTTTGTCATTCACTCCGGTTCCGTAGGACGGCTACTTTCTCATGTCCTGAGGCCCTCTAAAACTAAAACGCTGCTCTTAATATCGGTAATTATACAGCTGTGCATTCTGCCGTGTTACTGTAGCGGCGCGATTGCTCTTTTTCACCAGTGTCATTGCAGTCGAAAGCAACACATGTGTTGCAGCAGTGTTGCTTTGTTGCCTCTTTCCAATGTACAGAGCTCCGCCTCTCATAAGACCACGTCAAATTGCTTTGGTGAATGGCTTGCTTGCTTTACAGTGATCTATTGTGGTGTGCACTTGTCGGATGCCTCCACAATAAGGTCTCTCTGCTGTCCCAACTTCCCTGCGGAATGCTTGAGTGGATAGTGCAGTGCTGCAGCAACAGCCGAAACTGCACAACCAATGTTGCGTGTTTCGGTCACTTGATTGCTGTTATTTCTTCTTTTAAATCTGGATCAAGCTGGCCCACCTTCTCCCTACAAAGAGTCTCTGCGGCTGCATCTCTTTGTCGCCACTGCACTCAGCGGATCTATATAAGCTACTTCGAACGCCACGCAACTCTACCCAATTCCGGCTTCTCTTGCTCTTGTGTTCCTCGCGCTCGGTCACAAGTCCTTTTTATTGAAATGTGTCAACTACATTACATAGGACATAGGCCAGCCCACGGCGTACATGAAGAAGGTGCTCAGACCCGGCTTAGGCCTCTGTGCCCTAACACTGCTTTGCTGGCTGCTTGACTTTGCCAGTGTTGCTGGAAAGGGTGGCTACGCTTCCAGCTTAAAAGAAGGAGTCCTGGGGGCTGGAAGGCTACTTCACTTCCATGCAACACTTTCTGAGTCTACAGTATATATATATATACTGTACAAAAGGGCTGTGGCAACTGCGCAATGCGTTGAGCCAAATATCGGTCCTTGCGCAATTGTGAGTAGCAAGTGCACAAACGAGACAGCGCGACCCCCATGCTGCAAGGCCCTGCCAGCATGTAGAAATGAGATAAAATGAAGCAACATGCAACAAGCAAGGGTCACCTGGCTCCTTCCCCAGTCTCTCCGAGGAGAAAGCTTCACCTAGGCGAAGTTTCCCGAAAAAGCTAGGAACCAAATCAGCAAGGCTCGGGCTTCTCCCACGTCCAAACTTAAGTAGTTTCTTCAGCTACTTACTTAGCTTGCTTGTAAGCCTACTAGTGGCCAAACCCCACAAAAATAGCAATAATGATAAAACATACAAAGCCCTGTGATTGGTTGTGCAAAAAAAAACATCAAGCGAGCATGAAACATCGAGCTGATGAAACAAACTTTGGGGAAGTGCCGTTAATAGGTTAATATGTTATAAGCGATAAAATTGTTCAAAGAATGGTTTAAAAGAATGTCGGAAGGGGCCTTCTTTGCAATGAGCACGTTGGCACTACGAATTCTTTGAGCAAAAGCCATCAGCAAAGGCACTCTCAATCATCGCTTCACAGGATGAAGAATGAACATGATCAGTGATCAGTCATCGATCCAGCTTTATCAATCATTACTTTACTCTGCGTCAATTTCCTATAGTTTCCTAGTTTCATGTCAAATTACAATAGTTCCCTCCGAAGTCAAAGTCAAACTGTGAGATGGCACGCGGCCAGAGACTTTTCAAGCTGTTGCTATTCTCTGGTCCCACCCTACATAGCCGAGGCTCCTGACAGCGTCGAGAGAAAATCAAGAGCACACAAAAACAGCGCTCACTGAGTCCATGAGCTCTGAGTCCTTTCTTGATGTGACAAGCGCTTTAAATCGTGTTGATGTATTGTGGAAACAAATCATTGTTGTGACTTTCGCCTTTCTGTTCTACTCAAATGGTCCGTCTGACGGCCTGGCACCAGACATGTCGGACTCCTCCAATTCCAATCTTTATCAAACTCTACATTGTACCACAAGTTGCTCCTTTGCCAGAAGTTTTTCCAGCCAAGACAGATCATCACCTTCACCAAGCAATGCGAAATGCAAGTTTGCACAGGTGCCTGGCAATGCAATGCCTGTGGCTCTTTCCAGGTAGAACCTCAGGCATCAAGTCAAGTGCCAGCGGTGCTATTCTGTCTTTCGTGTATATAGCACGCTACTAGCGATGGCCTCCTTTTAACCCTGACGATGACGACACACTGTGACGACACATTCCCGAAGACATGTGTCCCTCCTGACGACACATTCTGTGACGACACATTACTAACCGACCACGCATTCTGACAGCGACACATTTCTTCAACTTCATCCGGTAGTTAGCAGCTCTTCAAAAGCAATTTAAAACTTCTATTTCCGGAGAAGAAAGAGCATGATATAGGAGCCTGCCCAATGAAGAAGTTCCAACCACACATGTTCCAATCAATTTCTAGACTTTGATACGCGCTGGAAAACCCCCTGGACATAATTTGTCTTACGCGCAAAGCTATTCCGCAGTTTGTGTCATTGTTTTCGTTTGTTGGGCTAGAACACTCACTAGAAGAAGGCATGGCAGAACGCACCCTTGTGCAATCGCTACTGGCTCCTTGTGCCACTGCGCAGGGTCCTTAATATAGGTTGTCATGTCAAAAAGTACTTGTAAATACAGTAATACATAAATACAAATACGATAAACAAATTCAAATTCGTGATGTGTACTTATCAATATTTACAAACATAGCTCTATATATAATATATACAGAATTGTGTATATATATAAGTTATATATATGTATAAAATCGCTCGCTACCTCTACCTCCTCTCCTTTTGTTATAACGCTCTTTCCGAAAACAAGCAACCCTTCTTCAATTAAGCCCCTGCTTTCGTTCGACTCTTCTCGGGCGCGAAAGCATGTCTCCTAAGCCCGGAAGCGAGCCAGCGTCTTCTAAGCAATGTTCTCCTTCCGTGACTACTCTTCCCGTGAGCAAGAGAGCGTCTTCTGCGCAAGACTAAGATCTTCGCCAAACCCTGCGAAACTTGGCACACAAAACTCAGGAAGCCACGTGGATCTGAGACCGTCTGGGAGGTCACTTTCATCACTCTCAGGTATCCTGGCTCAATCTGGTTTTCACAGGGTTCATGTTGCTCCTGCCCCCTTTTCCCGAAAGCGTAGCCAAGGGTTCCCGTCTAACTTTGGGAGTTTGAGGGTAAAGCGTTGTTCGCGTGACGTTGGTTTCGTGTTCGCAGCCGTCCGCAGCCGTTCGCCACCATCCGAATGTGGTACGACCCGACGTGCTAACTTACCCCATCGCACATGAACTTGACCCACCCCCATGGCACACCGCTTACCCCGCGAATGTAAGAACTTACCCCATTTGGAAAACACAATGGCACACCGCTTCGAAACAAACACTTTTTCTCCTAGATTGTTTCTAAACCTACACGATTCCACTGCGATTCAATCTTCTACATGTTGATGTTTTCTAAGGTTCTCTGTGGGTTGCCGTGATCCAGTCCCCATGGCACACCGATTCTGACCCACATGTTGGTACCAGCTTTCAGTTTCTACATAGAGCGCAAACAGCATGGAACGTCAAACATATATCTATTCATTCTTGCGTGTTTTCCTCTCCCAATCCCCATGGCACACCGCTTCGGAACAAGCACTTGTTCTCCTAGCCTAGATTGTTTCTAAACCTACACCATTCCATTGCGATTCAATCTTCTACATGTTGATGGGTTCTAAGGTTTCCTATGGGCTGCCATGGTCCAACCCCCATGGCACACCTCTGACCCACATGCTGGCACCACCTTTAAGTTCCTACCCCGAGGGTAACCACCCAGACGCGAAAGTCCTTGCAAAGCAGTTGCGGCAAGCAAATCACACTGTGACACCACACCACGACTAAGTCACGGCAGAGTCCTTGCAGCACTTAATTTCCGCATGGGACACCGCGTCACCAAACAGGCCATCTAATTCAAAACCATGCTTTCCAAGCCCAGTTTACAACACTGCCACAATGATAGGGTTTGTGCAACAACAGCCAGCAGCAAATGAGTAGGCTTTGTAGCGCAGGCAGCGGCAGCGGCAGCAGCAAGCAGCAGCAAGCAGCAGCAAGCAGCCAACCAGCAGCAAAACAACACCAACAACCCAACAGCAGCAGAAGGTAACCAGCAGCATCCCACCAGCCAAACAGCAGCAGCAAGCCGGCAGCAGCAAACCAGCAGCAGCCAAACAGCAGGCAGCACCAAGCCAGCAGCAGCTAACCAGCAGTAGCTAACCAGCAGTAGTAGCCAACCAGCGCCAGCAAACCAGCAGCAACTGGCCGCTGCCAACCACCAGCAGCAAAACAGCACAGCGCAGCAGCAGCAGAAGCAGCAGCAGCACCCAAACCAACAGAGGCTAGAAACCAAATCATCTGTGACGTGGGATTGGTGAAAACGGTGTGCACACCCGCTTCCGATCTCTGCCAGAAGTATGCTAAGACCACGACAAAACCCATGGTTAGCTTGCGTTTTGCCTTCTTTGGTGTCTGTGCGCGCGCGCGTTCCTTCCGCATGGCACACCTGCGAAAAATGTGAACATGAACGCTTGAAGACATGAACTCTGCAAATCGCTCCTTGCCTGGAGGGCCCATGTAGATTGAAGAGGCCTTTGCTTACACATATGTGTGGGTCCTGGTGCCTGGCGGGTTGGGCGAGATAGAGGGCGAGATGTGGGCGAGGTATTGGGCGAGATGAACACGTTTGCCCAGAAGACCCATGCCCACTAACACCCAAACACAAAAGTCCTTGCAACGCAACGCAGCTGTGGCAACCAGTCATATACTGGGACACCACGCCACGACTAAGTCACGGCAACGTCCTTGCGATACTTGTTTCCGCATGGAGGCACCGCGTTTCACCAAACAGGCCTGCCACCAAGCTTGAAATCATGTTTCCAATACCCAGTCTGCAATGGAAGAAACCTGCTATAATCATAGGGCGTGCAAGACAATGACAGGCAGCAAATGAGTAGGAGCAGCGGCAGCGACAAGCAGCAGCAAGCAGCAAGCAGCAAGCAGCAGCACCAGCAACAACCAAGCAGCAAGCAGCAGCACCGGCAGCAATCAGCCAGCAGCAGCAGCAGCAGCAGCAGCAGCCAACCAGCAGCAAACCAACAGCAGCCAACCGCCAGCAGCAGCAGTAGCCAACCAGCAGCAACAAGGCGGCAGCAGCAGCAGAAAACCAGCAGCAAGCCCGACATATATTGATTGCCATAGATTACCAAACAACAAACACCTCCACCCCTAGACACGCAACTGTGTGGGGACACGCTTCGCAACGACTTCTCAAAAACACTAATCAGACTGCTCCTCGCTCATCCGCTTTGATGGAGATGGGGCCTTCTCGAAAAGGCTTCAACTATGGGTTGACAAAAGAAACCTCTAGAAACAAGCTCAATTTGTTCTTCGGAGGGAGTCTCACACGAAACGCTCGTTTTGCAGACTTAACACGTGAGTTTGGGAGGAAGGAAGAGTGCCCCACAAAATTTCAAAAGTGTCCCACAAGTCCCACAGAGTGTCCCTCACAAGAGTTTGCCACAAGAGCACGCGTCCCACAAGAGAGTGCCGCACAAGAGTGTCACACAAGAGCGCCCTACAAGAGTGGTCCAAAAGAGTGGCGTCCCACAAGAGAGTGTCGCACGAGGGTGTCCCACAAGAGCTTTCCACGAGAGTGTCCCACGGCAGCTCCCACAAGAGCGTCTTCTACAAGAGTGTCGTCGTACAAAATTTACCGTGTGTGAAGAGAGTGCCCCACCAGACTGTCAGACTGTGCCACAGGAGTGGCCTGCAAGAGTGTCACAAGAGTGTCCCACAAGTGCGTCACACGAGTGTCCCACAAGAGTGTCTCCTACAAGAGTGTCCCACAAGAGTGTCCCACAAGAGTGTCTCGTACAAGAGTGTTAAGCAATGTTTGGCCGTATTGTTTTCGATTACGGGTGTGCATTGGGGTTCGTGATCTTGTCTATCTAGATCCAAAAAAGCATTTCATTGCAAACATTCACTGCGATTCGCTCCTCAGGAAGGATGGAAGCGTAAGATCTTCGGCTCTTGGGATGAAGGTCTCAGAGAAGCCAAACCTCGAGGGATCAAATTCTAACCAAACGAAGAACCTGCTCCCAAAATGCTGCCAACTTGCATGGTGTGCCAAATAGATTCAAAGACCAGGCAGTGCATCCCAGTGCCTTGCCTCCCCACGCTACTTGACAAGGGCCAGTATGCACTTGCAAATGACCCACTTATGTCCTGGTGTTTAAATGCTTTCCTGCTGCTCAATCTTTGTTGATCATAGTCCATGCTTGCCACACCTCACCACAAGCCTCTGCTTCGCTGGCTCTTTCAGTGCCCGGGATGGCATTACAAGTCTGCCAATGGGTAACTCCTCTGTATGCCCATGAATCCTCAAATTTTCACTCTCGATATGCGTCTCCCTCTTCACGAATGTACCAACTGGCACCTGACATGCTCACAGCCAGCTGGCAGTGGCTCATCCATAGCCTGGGCTCGACTGAAAACCCAGTACTGCAGTTTTATCCGACATGAACCTTGGAGGCAAGAATCGAACCTGTTGCACAGCTTGGCAAAAAGTAAGAGCAATGTGGCTGCTTCTATCGAAGTCGGAAGAACAAATCAAGAAACCTTCAGCGCACGGAACCACAACTCTCCTTGTGCCAGGATCAAATCCTGCACCATTTCACTGTCCCACTACTTTCACACTTGGGTAACCATAATTCTTTCGACGGCAACTACTGCTGAGTGGAACTCCTGCCGGACGAGAAATTGGGCGCCTCAGGTCAGGTTGCTCAACATATCACAGGTTCTCAGATTCACTCCCAAACTCACCACATAACGAAAGCAAGGGTGCAAGTGTAACTTGTAACTATAACTGCGTCCGGCACAACAGTAGCCAGATGCCATCTTCTGTTGATCAACACCCATAACCTTGGCAAAGACCCTTTGCCCCACCTTGACTCCGGTCCTTTGGTGTTCAGTGCTCAGTACCTACATCTCCAACTTTCAAAGTGCTCATGGGAGCAAGGAAAATCTGTCAGTGGCGCAAGAAGCACATTCTGAGTTCTTGCTTTCGATGCCAAGTGGTGCTAATAGCATTGCAATATGGTGGGCCTTGAGTCCTCAAATGAGACGATGTTAGCCCAGTCCAGAAAGAAACTAAGTGCCTGTCTTGTTTAAAAATCGCTCGTTTGCATTCCGACGTGGAGGCAACCTAGGTGGACTCACCAATTGTTTTTTGTGGCACTCGCGTGTTTTCATGATGTTTGTATATATTCTAGATATGTTAGCTAGGCTGCAATCAGCTTGCGCAGTGAGACTGCGATGTGCCAGCTAGGTAACCATCCGTGATTGGCCCAAGTGCAGGAAGCTCACATCCAAGGACCGGAGCTGCGATGGCAAGAGCTTTCAGGAAAGCACTGATCAACACAAATCAAAGAATCCCAAGTCACAGAAATGCTCTTGATACTGAATCATTCAAGATCATATCGGCACAAAATACTTCAAAACACCAAATGCCTTGTGTAAAGGGCTTGTCGTGCTTTCCATCCCCAACAAATCTGTTTACCAATGGACTTCAGAGTTGTATCGTCCGCAACACTAGCAAAGTCAAAGGCAGCCTGTATGGATCGCATTACCAAGTGAAGGTAGTATGGCCAAACATGGTTCAAAGCATCCGCCTGCAGGGCAATCTGATGCAACAGAAGTGCCAACACTGGTTTCTAGTTTGGACTTGCACATGCAGCTGCCTGTAGAAAAAGGGTGTAAAGGGCGACATCTCTGGTCATGGCAGCTCGCGACAAATGAGTCAAGTAAGCGCTGCATTCATCTTTCCTGCCACCTGCGTGCATGCTAGAACGATGTCTTTATATAAAGGTAGCACAGAAAGGACGGCAAACAAGAGTCTGCCTGGAGGTCCATCAATAACTTGCCTGGTCTTAAATTGCGCTTGCGCATCCAAAAATGTCCGCTTTCTGTAAAGTTGCATAACACAAAGTGAATTCTTCTTACATCCACTTTGCCTCAAGCAACAGCTTGCAATGAATTACCTGAGTATCTTGCTCGTGGAAGACCTCCAACACAAAGCTCAACTTCTGACTGCAGTGTGTTCGATGCTTGAAAATGGGAGATACAGCACCCCTGTATGTCGGGAGCCTGGATGTGCGCTGGCAATAGTCCTAAGACAGCTGGAGTTCCACACCTCAACAACACTCCGTCATGCAAGTAACTATGCAACTTCTGATACAAATGTTCAAGTGAACAACTTAACCTATTGACAATATTGTTTGGAGCTGATGAATCTGATGACAGCAAGAGGTTTGCCAACACATGCCAACACATGCCAACACAATGACTTCCATTGACAGGTGTTCAACATGGCATCAGTGCACAAGACTCACAAGACTCACAAGCTCTTTGGACATCAAAACCTGCCGTTGAGATGCCGACTTCTCATAGACATACAGCCGAGCAGTCCCTGGGATGCCAAAAGCTGCAGAACTTCGAGTTCACATTCGGAGGATCGCTGTGTACTTGAGCAGCACGCACAAACGTGTCCAACTACGTCCAACTACGAATTTTAGACGGCATCTCACCTGGAGAGACAGTGCAATCATCTGCACTTCTTGTTACTAGTAGTAAGGATGCTCCTAGTAGTACGGCCAGGAGCCCCTAGTAGCGTCCTTGCTCCTAGTAGCGATGCGAGGAGCCCCTAATAGCGTCCTTGTTCCTAGTAGCTCCTTGTTACCAGTGTATAAACCTTGCAGGAAATATCATGAAGATGGATTCGATTGTGCGTGTGCGCGTGTTCACTTCAAAATGCAGCGGACAGGGACGCAAAGGGTAAGCTGGAGCAGGTACAGGTGGTGGGGGGGGGTCATGTCCCGCAATCGCAATACCGGTCTCGCATGTTGCCATGAGGGATGTTGCAGACCTCCCGAGTCCTGACGCGTTCCAAGCAGGAAGGGCACCAGCAGAGAAGCGAACCAGGGAGGATGTCGCGACAGGCCGTCCATAAGGTGGTGTCTCAAAACACCTCGTGTTCCCCGGAAAAGTGCAGCAGTTGCAGAACCTGTATCAGAATGTATTCCTTGATCTACCGGATAGCTGTTTGCTCTTGCTCAAAAGAATTTAGGATCCACCTCAAGATACTGAAGGAGTGGGAAAGTTCTAGGAGTGTTCCTTCTCCGGGAGTTAAAAACGAGCTGAACGCACCTGCCGTGAGCTCGTCAAAAAGTGCCAGCATGTTCAGCCCAATTTCTTTGGTGATCAACTTGTCAACAGGCCTACTGTTTGGTGGTGAGTACGCAGCCAGGACAGTTCTGGCCCCATAACCCGAGCGTGATTCCCAGAGACATTACCGTCAAACATGGCCAGGCACTGGCGTCATGAATGCCATCGACACGAGCAAAGAATTCAGGCTTGGATCCTAGACTGCTTCGTAGGGCTTGGCTTGGTGCCACTGATATGGAACCATACTGAGGACCACTGTAGGCTACTCTGTTCCATGAATGGCGCCAGTTGCAGAGGTGCAAGAGTCGGACTGTGGCGGGCATTGTTGTCAGTAAAAGAGGCAGAGCAAATTAGGAGCGCTAACCTCAGACAACCACACATTGGGTCACAAAGCCCAACATTGCTCCCAATAAGCTCAAGTTTAGAACCACTTTAGAATCACAAGGCTGGAGCTTGTGTCTGCATCTAGCTGCGAAATGCAGTGAAGAATGCTAGACCTCTGCGGTTCCACCTTCCTGTTACAGTTACATTAGCGACGCGAGCAGACTAAAGAACACTACAAAGGCACAAGTATGCTCAATGAAAAAACTTGACCTGCCAACTCCCAGTGTTGGGGCCAGCTGTCCTTCCACCCATCGCGGCAAGGCCACCTGCAGCCATTGCAAGTCCTGGTCATCAAGGATAATAGATTAGATTGTCGCTTTCTTCAATGAACACCTGTCTTTGCAATGCTACAGTGCATGATGAGGATCATGCAAAGGATTCAGCACATTCAACAAACGGGAAACTTACAATGGCTCACAACTCCACTTCTAGAATCTTTGCACCCCAAACCTTCCTCGTTGCAGTATGCCAGGACTATATCGACTAGGCCAGTGGAAGGCACTGACTTGCTTCCAAGCCTCCAAGAAATGATGGAAGTGACGTGTATGCGGATGCATGCGGCGGTACGAGGTCCAGGGACACAATAGCAGGGTTGTGATGTCGCTTGCAAGTCTCCAGAACCACACTGCAGTATGCAGCTAGACATGTAATGAGGTATTCATGAATACCTGTTAGCCTCTGAAGAGATTCATGAGCAGCCCGGAGTCTACCAAGAGCTGCATCGATCGGCCAGGACCTGCAACCGCAAGTGCCGATCCAAACCCACAACGCTCATAAAAAGCTCAAATTACCTGGCGAAGCAGCTAAGAGTGATGCTCACGAATCAAACTTCGCGTCCGTATCTCGAACCTGTGCAAAGTCTGCATCACACCCTGTGCAACCTGTGCATCTTGGAGAAAAGCCCTCTGCTTTGCACTTGTGCTCGCCTCTGCAACAATCCCATTCCAACGTCGTAAAGCTCTGCAGCTACTTGTGGCTCAGTGTACAATTTGGATTCCGCGCCAAGCAAGTAGGCAAGTACCTCACAAAGGGCTCAACTTGCGACAATAGTAGATCTCCCGGGATGAAACTTGGATACGAGCTTTGCTTCTTGATCAATATACGTATTTCATATGTGCAGTTCCAAGTCCAACTAGGAGCATTTTGAACCATCTACGTTATTTTATGTTTAGCAATCGCACTGTTCTTAGAAGTTATTGAGAATGAATCAAGAACAAAGCAGTTAGACTGCTTTGCTTCATGGCAACTACAACTTGCAAAACACAACACACCACAAGGGTAGGTGGGGGTTATATATAGAAAGATACACATTCTGACACTTGCCTCTTATTGTACTTAACCAATAGGGTTGAATACTGTTCCACAAAAAGGCATCCGGCAATAAGAAGGGGCCTTCCATGAAGGAAAGTTACCTTCCATGAAGGAAAGTAGTAGGTAAAAATAGTTGTCAGGAATAAGGGTTTTGTATCACATTAGATGTGCTGACCAAAAAAAGTGGTGTTGAGGAAAAACAAAAAAATCCAGGAAAAGACTTTGGAAAGGAATAAATTAAGTGTACTCAAATCATCCAATGTCTCTCTTTTTGACCAGTAGAAATTCCAATAGAGGGTGTTTGTTTTCTTAAAGTTGCTTTTTGCACGAGAAAGGAAGGACAACTGTAATGAGTAATGAGGCATTGCTTGGATTCCTTATTCCTGGTGCCTGGCAGTGTATATTAGCAGCACATAGTTCCTGTCTCTCGGTACTTCAATGTGAACATGAGATACAACATTCTACAATCTAATCTAAAGTTGGTATTTTTACATTACCGGATGATACTGCGAGTGAAGTAAATTTGAGGGTTGCAAGTCAGAAAGTCGCAAGTTCAGGTTTATATATTTGTTGCGCTACCTGTCATAGTAGATAAAGGGATAAAAAGGATAGATAATTGAAAACCCAGAGAAAGAGGCCTTAACAAAACATATATAATTATTTATATAATCTTCTTTAAGAGTGAAAACTGATGATAAAATGTATAACAAAAATGTGGCAAACAAGTATATAATATATATATATATAATATATGTATATTCTAAAATAAACCTGAAGGATACAAAAGGCACACAACAGTGTTTGAAACATGCTCAAGGGTGCTGTCGCAATTGCGAATCTAAAACCACACAAAAGGCTGACAATGACTTGGTGTGTAGATCGCACTGCAATGGAATTCAAGATACAAGATTTGCAGGACAATTTTTTTGAACCCAGGCCTAAACCTTCAAGACATATGTTGGTCAGGAGGTTCAAAAATTATTTCCTACAATCTTCCGATTTGAATCTTCTTGGATTCAAGACCTCACTCCTGGAATCTTGAATCGGGATTCAACAATTCTGAATGTACATGCAAAACTAAATCGTGAATGTATCAACCAAAGTGATGGTTTCCAGGCAGCGGCATGATCACTAACTCATCTCACCAGCTGCGGGGCTCAGGGCAAGCCCGTGGAGGGTGGGAGAGGATCTCACACATGCAGCCATAGAAACGTTCGTGAGCAGGGACTCGCGCTGGCACAGCTAAGGTGGAAAAGGGAAGTGAAGTTGCTTCAGGCAGAGCAGCACCATTCGAAGTGATTGAAGCTTGAGTTGACACATTGGTAGCGGAGCTCCTGAACGTCCATCAGGAAGGCCACCATTGGACCATTGACGGTCCGACCTGATTGACGGTAGGCAGCATCCAGGGAGGAGGCTGGAGGAGGTACAGGCCAGAATCATCGGGCTACGTTAGTTCCGTCCTTCAATCAACCAAGGATGACCTACAAGTCTTCCAACAGCGACTGGAGCTTCTGTCGGCAGTTCAATGAACTGACCACGAGGGTCATGCTGAACTCTCAGGGCAGTGCTTTTCAAGAAATTGCAGTTACATGCTCTTGAACTTAACACTGGAGACGACAAGGACCTCAAGCAGATCATATCCTTGTTCATTCTGGCCACTGGGGAAAACCCGTCTTAGAGCGTGCTGATACTATGACTCAGAGCAAGCTTTTGTTTCATTGTCAGTAGCATGCAGACGAAACCAGTGACAGTTACGTCGCAAGGGCAGACATCCTTTGCACAAGTTGATTGCAAGACAGGTCAAGTTGGCAGATCTACAAACCTTCATCCTGCTCAGCGGCCTCGCGAGGAGAAGAAACACGTGATCCCAGATGCAGACAATAGCCTCGAAGGCACTTTGACCGTGACCAAATTTGCTGAAGCCATCAGGATGCTCGGAGCGCATCCATGATGTCCAAGCTCATGCAACACTGCCAGCTTGCCAAGTGACATGCGCCGAGTTGGACAACTGTGATCCGGTGAGTAAGAAACCCATCAAGAAGAGCGTGTCGATACCCACAACATCCCCAACTTTGTTCAGAGTGCTTCATGGCTGGAAGCGCAAAGGTGACCACAATCATAAGGTCCTGCAAGGCCAAACCCGGGTTCATGGGCAAATCACAACTCACGCGCTATTTTCCGAGCGGTATTCTCGGAAGTTCGCTCGATGGATAGCGCTGACAATACAGAAGAGCATGTATCTTAGAGAGTGACCTTTCAAAGTGCCAGAGCCTGCCGAAGTGTTCGTGGTCCACAAGAGACTGGCTGAAGCCGTTCATCCAAAGAGTCGCTCGAGTTCGTCCGTCTTGAGCAAACCTCAAAATGAACAAGCGATGTATAGAAGATCATAGGGAATGCTCGGAAACAAATTCGGCTGATTCGAGTGGAGGCCAAACGATCATGTCTAGTAATGCCTTGGAATCCAAAGTGAAACGAAGGAAACTCATGGGAAAACAACCCGAAGAGACCGAAACTTCGATGATCACAGACAAATTTCATAAAGTCCTCAGAGCCGCTGACCAAGCACTACCCCATGTTGGTGCACGAGAACTGAATCATACCATCCAAACAATGTTGCAATCGATGTTTCCTGAAAAGGAGATTTGCTTTGTCTATGGATGCAGGGGAACTGATCGAACTATGATTCCGACCAAAGAAATACATGAGGAAGAGACACCTTTTTGTAGAAGTGTGATGTTGCTCCGATCCAAAAAAACAAGCCCAATAAGAAACGTGGTTTGTGCTGGCGGCACGCAAACAAGTCCGTGTGAGCCACCCGTGTCGCATCAACATCACCACGTTTGGTGCTGAGTGGGATCAGACCGAACCTGATCGCCCGGCTGCTCAGTCCGCTACCACAGACCAAAAAGGTCCAGACGCGGAGTCGACATATCAGAGAGGCCTGAGTCCTCCCAATCTATTCCAATGACCAACCAGTCAGAAGGGAAACCCATCTGAAGCCTCAAGTCCAAACAAGAGCATCAAAACTTGGGACCAGCAGAAGGTTAAGTCAGGCATTGAAGAATCAAGGTCATCGCGTCGCAATTGTCCTTTGGATTTCATGTCAACGATAGACTGTACGGTGACGGAATGGACTGGTCAAACAAAGGGGGACAAAGCTTTCACATGTATCATACACGATGGATGCCGGAGCCGACAGAACGAGTCGAAAGGTGATATCCCTCCAGCAACACTTGTTGAACTGGGCAGGTCCACCAGGAGAACTTGTGGTTTCAGAGCTCAACTCCAAAGAGTTCAGCCAGTCTCAGCATACAACATCGGGGTCGTCACAGTCAATGTAGGCAACAACGAGATCCCCGAAACTTCAGAGGTCCATGTTCCAGAATCCCTCAACTAAAACTCAATCAGACCAAGAACCTGAAGGCGCACCCAGCACCCCAAAGAATAATGAATCCCAAGATGAAGCCACACCGGAGACCGGAGACCGTCTTTGAGGATGGATCAGGTGAGCCTGCCATGTTCACCTGTCTCGAACTCTGCTTGGAGGACCGAGATTGATGTGACATTGAACCAGCCATTGAGTCAACACATGCTCACCAGCCATCAGAAAGTGAATCCTGGAAGCATCGAACCGAAGTGAAACTCTCGTCCTTAACAGAAGCAGAAAAAGAACAATGTCGAATCGCCAAAACTGCAGAAGATAACAACTGGATAAGGACAGATACAATTTCCATAATCTTGAGGGATCAGCTCCCAGCAGAGAAAATGTTTAAATGTCATTGGATCCTAACATGGAAGCCAATCAAGGCTCGAGGGGTGCCCTGATCCAAATCTAGAAAACATCCCGCGTGACTCTCCCACGTTATCAAGAGCTGGTAAGATGCTAGCATGACAACGCATTTCAAACCAGCAATGGGTTCTCAATACTTCGATGTGAAGGCCGCCTTTTTGCAAGGAAATTTTGATGCTGGAGAGCACTGGCTATTGGACCGGTTCCAGAGCTGGCCCAACCCATGAAGGTTCAAGAGGTATGTCGGCTAGAGAAGAGCGCTTATGGACTCATAGACGCCCCATATCAGTGGTACACCGCTCTTCACTCAAGAGGTTGCACTTCGAGCCATCGCCCTTTGATCCCTGCTTTTACATCCTACCGAACCCCCTGGTCAGAAAGATGCAGGATTTCCTGGCGAGAGCACAAATATGCTTTCGGATAAGTCCACCAGTACCAAAATCACTGCATCACGCTGTCGCAGAGCAAACATATGTGTGTAAGATACCAGCCATCAAGATTCTAGTGGAACGTAAGAACCAAACGGAGGCATCCATCACAAAGCAAGAAAAACAACTTCGAGGCCTAATTGGTTTCTTACAGTATGCATGTGTCAAAACTCTACCAGACCTGGCACGTAAGGCTCAAGCTGAATCATCTTCAACCACAAATCAACACCGGAACCATTGAAACATTGCTGTTTCCAAGTCGTGTACTGCGTGAAGTGAAGCAAAACGACACCACGATGTTTCTCAGATCAGATGCATCTGCCTCCAAGCACCGTCCAGACTCTGCCGCAGGCATGGTATAGGAGCCTATAATAAGCTTTAGCTCGGGGGAAGGGCGGGGCCCTTTCATTTTTGGGAAGTTGTGTTTTTGATTGCCCTTTGACGCTTTTTGGAGATGGAAATCACTGCTGCGGCTTCGGAAGTAAACATTCACGATGCTGGCTATGCAGCCCAGGGGACACTGCATTATTGACATCGTGGGTGTGTTTGCCCTTGTCCTGCCCGAAAGAAATAGACAGACTGACAGACCGATACAGACATACCGAGACAGACTGAGACAGACAGACCGAGACAGACACAGCGAGACAGACCGGCTCCGACAGCACAAGTTGCTGCTTCCCACACCAGTAACCAACCCGTATCCTCGTGGGGTGCTACTGACACATTATCCATTTATATAATCTGCGAAGCAGTGTGAACAAGAGCGCCCAGAAGTCCAATAGCTTGGGGAAGTAAGAAGATACAGCACGCTTGCAGCGGCTCAAACGACTGTCATCAACCTTGGACCAAATGTCCTGGCTTCGCCAATTCAAACGTAAACTGGAAGCAAGCTGAGAAGAGCTTGCCCCAACTGGCGAAGGCATCTCAGTGCCAACATTCAAGCCAGATGACGATACAGCTATCACGGACTGTAAGTTAGTCCTCATTTGATCTCACAACACGAGCTGCCCACTGAACTGCTCTGAGTTCCATGTGCAATGACAAGCGCGGGCCATCAAGGAATTGTTGTCAAAAGGAGTTAGCTTGAGATGGGTACAACATAAGAATTTTTGGGAATGTGAATGTACGAGTATCAACCAAAGTGATGGCTTCCGGCATGATCACTAACTCACCCCACCAGCTGCGGGGCTCAGGGCAGCCTGTGGGGCGTGAGAGGATCTAACACTTGCAGCCATAGAAGACGTTCATGAGCAGGGACTCACGCTGCAGGTGGAAAAGAGAAGTGAAGCTGCTTCAGGGAGAGCGGCAGCAGCAGCAGCAGCAGTTGAAGGGATTGAAGCTTGAGTTGAGGCGCTATCGAATTTACATTTAAAAAAACGTATATCTACATTCATATACAAACCGTAAGACAATCAGATCCTGCCCTCAAATCCAACAACGTGTAAAATGTTCAGAAAGCTGCGCAAATACCCTTAAAAGCCAACTCAAGGTGGGTAGATGTAGGGGGGCCACATTGCATACCCCATTCAATGCGCGCTGTCAAGATGCAACCATCGCTGGGCATTCTTTGAGCACAGCTTCCTACACATAAATGCACCCATCACACCCTCATAGTTCACAAACCGCCTACTTTTTTGCTAAATTGAATGTTGTCTGTCCTGGAAATGCTCTGGAAGAGCGAGGATCCAGTATGCCTTTAAGTCGCGCAAATCTTTCGAAGAATTCTGAGACAAGCGCGCTTAACACCTCCAAAAGAGGTGGAGGCAATCCCGAATCCTCATAAAAACCAGCTGCCTGGCGCTCAAGGACAGTCAGTTTATCCTTCTGATCAGTGTTGCAGCTTCAATCGGCCTTTCGCTGGAAGTCTGATGCGCGGATGGTATGATGGTCTCATTGTTTCAGCACGGCAAATCCACAGCAATGGCGCATCAAGGCAACTCCATGCAAATGAAGACTGTTCCCCACTCTTTCACAAGCATTGCTGTGGTGCAAAAGCTAGTTGCGGCCCATTGCCTCTTGCAGGGTTCAGATTCCAATTTCTAGGAACCCAGCTGGAGCCAGGCATGTCGAGCTTCAGGACATAGGCAAAGAAGCAGGCGCTGACCTCTCAATCTGGTTCATAGGGAGGGACAACATTGGAGCAAACGTGATATCAAGGAAAACAAACAAACTACATGCAAAAAACGTTCATTTGCAAGCATGTGTTGCTCAAGGTGAACCAAGGATCCATACTGACCAAGGCCAAGCGAGTTGCAAATGTTGTTTTTTGAGATATACGGGTTAATGAGAACGTCCTGAACGGCCTTTCACTGAGTCTGGGAAGGCGGCGACTTCGGCCCCATCTGGAGCTTGTCGCACAGATCGGCAACGCAAGGCCTAGCAGGAAAACCAATAGGTTAGAGGTAATCGCTTCAAGGTTGGAGGTGGCTACTAGGGTGGAGGCCATCGCTCTTAGGTTCCTTTGACTAAGGTTGGAGGCCATTGCTACTATATAATTACTCTAAAAAACCTACAGAACGCATTTTCCGCTATGCATGGATTGACTGGGGAGGTTTTCCTATGGTTTCGGGACATGAGTGGACATACTCTGGGTCGAAACTCGTGTACCGAACTGGTCAGCCCAGAACTATTATACGCAAACGTTGACCTTGTGCCATATCCTGCCCCGGGCCACCGAGGAGGGTGCTTCAGCGCAGTCCCTGACTAAGGAGAAGGGCAAAAAATGATAAAAGGATCCGAAGCCAATAGAATCAATAGACTTGCGGCTCCAGGGGTTCTCTTTTACCTGCCCAAGCTGACGGCGCACTGACCTTTTTTGTTGTTAATGTTGCGCGCGAACGCGATTCCTGACTGGGGAAACTGGGCGACGGTTGGCCCGAGAGCAAGAAAGGTGATTGTCAAGCAATTCCGAGTAAGGAAATAGTTAAAATCGAGTTGTCCAAGGGCCATGACTTCTTTATACAATCTGTTATTGAGTAAGACGTTGCGAAGAAGTTAGATTTAAAATCTTAAGAGAAAAGATATGTAGAAAGAGAGAAAGAGAAGGCGGCTGTGAAGGAGTGACAGTGTGGATGCGCAGGTGTGATATAGATGTGGAGATGCGTGGGTGTGTGGAGGTAGAGAGGTAGATCACGGTAGATCTGCTGACGTGAGCCTGCCACACGGTCTGCCCACACACTAGAAGCAATTCTATCGATACCGCCAGTCATCCCGCTCACCAGCGACACGCCGGCATGTTTCGCGCTCCCCAGTGGCACGCCGCCACGCAAACGCACTAAGGCCGCGCAAATCCGCATGGCGCTGCGACATCACGAATGCAATTTCGCCACACGGTCTGCCGACACACTACAAGCGATCATATCAGACGATACCGCCAATCATCCCGCTCACCAGCGACACACCGAGTTTACACCAGCATGTTTCGCGCTCCCCAGTGGCACGGCGCCACGTAAACGCACTTCCCACTAAGACCATGCGCGCAAGTCCGCATGGCACTGCGACATCACGGACGTAACTCGCCACACGGTCTGCCCACACACTAGAAGCAATCCACACGATACCGCCAATCATCCCGCTCACCAGCGACGCGACACCCCGCGTTTACGCCAGCATGTTTCGCGCTCCCCAGTGGCACGGCGCCCCGCAAACGCACTTTCCACCACTGGGTGGCTGTTAAGGGGTATTTTTTTTCCCCCAGCTTCTCGGCTAAAGCCTGCCAGTTTTTCAACTCAACTTCTCAGCCTGAGCCCTGCCAGCTTTTCAATTCAACCTGTGATTGCCCAGCTTCTCAACCTGAGCCCTGCCAGTTTTTCAACTCAATCTGTTGATTGACCAGTGATCCCCCAGCTTCTCAACCTGAGCCCTCCCGGCTTTTCAATTTGACCATTAAGTCCCCAGCTTCTCAACCTGAGCCCTTCCAGCTTTTCAACTCAACCCGTGGTTGACCAGTGATCCCCCAGCTTCTCAATCTGAGCCCTCCCGGCTTTTCACTTTGACCATTAAGTCCCCAGCTTCTCAACCTGAGCCCTCCCAGCTTTTCAACTCAACCCGTGGTTGACCAGTGATTCCCCCCAGCTTCTCAACCTGAGCCCCGCCAGCTGTTCAACTCAAGCTGTGATTGATCATTGAGCCTCAACAAATCCCCCAAGATTCTTAACTCAACCTGATTGAGTCCTCCCAGCTTTTCAACCCAGCTTGTGACTGATCTTAGCCCCCATAAGATTCTCAACTCGGTCCGGAAAAGTCCGGAAATTGAGGACACATGAGCCGCTCCAAATTTTCACAAGAAGCTGAAACGCTTAATAATCCCCATGCAATTTTCAAGACTTGACATTTCACTGGTCTTAGTCTAGCTAGTCTGAAAAGTCCAGGCATTTAAATTAACTAAGTTAGTTGACAAAATTATGACAAGTATTGTTTGTTTTTGGGGAGCAAGGCCAATGCCACAAAACGAAAAAACAAGTCAGAAACTCAGCAGATTTACGCCAAACATAATTACACAAAACATTTGTAACAGGAAACATCAATGACAATGATCCTATAACAACGACAAGCGGTATCAATTCACTGTCAATGACATGATGACTGACATGTTTATGCAATTTCACCAAAACTCAATGCCGATGTTTTACTGCGCTCCACAGATCCAGCGACGACAAACACTATGGTTTGTTATTCCAGCCAGGCTTTTCAGCTTGGTACTCCAGTCACTCGTCATTGTCATGTATGTGTGAGGTCACCTGGTGACTTGTGAGTACCGTTTCAAAAGCTAAGCCGAGCCTACTAAGCAAAGGGCACTTCCGGCAACAATTCCAAGTAACAGTCAGTGGTTTGTATTTTAATTTAAGGCAGTGAACACAGTAATACTCAGGGTAATGAACACAGGGCAGTGAAACTGGTTTGAAATACTGGGTAGTGAACACAGTAGTAGTGAAGGAGAGTGAACTGTTGAACAATGAAAGACGCTGCCGAGTGCCCTTTGAAATTACCGGCCTAAGGCGGCGCCGGCAAAGCCAAAAATGAGAATCTGCCACTGACTGCTTCGACATCTTCGAAGCTGGTGATTCTCTCTTGTAAATGGCACAAGTGTGACCATTTGTGAAAAGCCACGCATAGGCGGCGGCAATTTTCAAGCCATTCAACTACATCCGGGTCGTGGCAATCTGGATTATTGCTCAATGCAACATACGCCATGAAGCCTTCCATTCTGCCTCCAAGGGTTTCGTCGTTGGTCATCAGGGCCTCAGATGACGAGAGCAAGGGAAGCTGCAGAAACTATCCATTTGTGGGAAGTCCGGGAAGTCCCAAACACAAGAACACATAACAATGACATAATAAAAAGTCAGTTTACTTTTATTACTAAAGTCGAAACAGGTGACAATGACATGACAATGACGACAAATCAACAAATGTGGATGACAATGACTCAACAATGATCAATGCAACCATGGTTCCATATCAACATAGGCTGGCAACGCTAGCCTTGGATTTGCTTCACCAGGAACAGTAAAAAAAGTCCTCAAGTCAAACGGAATTCACTCACTGGAGGGGGAAAATAAAAAAATCACCGTAAGCAAATCCATGCAACCTTAGGACGTTGGCGAAGTTGCTATTGCCCAGCTCTGGGGTACGTAGTACCCGCAACACAGTGCGATTTGCATGGTATATGCCATGCCAATCACCACCGTCAAAGTGGAAGTGCTGGTACGCAATGATTTCCATCCTGCTTTGCATTGGGGACATGGCCATCAGCAACTCAAAAATTTCGTCGGAGAGCTCGAGGATTTGCTGGGCCTTTTGCTCGCGAGCGATTCTCCTGAGCTGTTCTGCGCGGCTGGACATGGTCACGACAATGACACCCGACGGAAGAATTTGGGCCTGACAAAATGACTGCAGCCATTAAACCATGACAATGACGATACCCCACGGACATTTTTGAACCAACACCAAAGTGCTCTCTGACACGAATAACACGCAAACTTACAATGACAATGAACTGCAACAGCTGGTTCCTTGATTCCTTGAAACATCAATTTCAACTACAATGCAAATGACTGCAAGAGCTGACTCATCATTTTTATTCAACTGCGAAACTGTCCAGTGCCGGCTGCCAAAGCGGGGACATACAACCACCAAATGCAGTACAATGAACTGATACCATTGTTTTAAAAATGAAAATGTGAAACTTGTCATTGTCATTATAGTAGGTTTTTTACTTGTGCGTTTTTGATGTGTTCTGTCTTGGTTTGCTCCATACTGTTATAGACAATGGTTTTCTTTTTGTTAAAGCCAAACTTTGTTTGTCTTTTTAATGGGGCAAATCTAAGTTTGAATGTGGGTCAAAACTGCGATTGATCGGGACTTGGTGTTGACATTGTAAATGTATGACAATGACAGACCCCCGGTGGCCCGGCGTTAATAATGTAACTGCACCAGTATGACATTTTGTAATATGACTTGAGTTTCCGCAAACGTTTGTTTTGATTAACTGAACTGTTGATTGACAAAGACAGGGTTCATTCATGAATAGAAGGGCTCGTTGAGAAAGGCTGGATGACTGACACCAATATGATCTCTTTCAGTGACTGGCACCAGAATCACAAACCCACAGATCACGCTGCTCACATGACAAGAGTTGATTCTTTGATTCCTTCAAAACAAACTACAGTGTCAATCACTGCAAGAGCTGACGCATCATCACAGTTGCGGACTCAAGTCGGCTGCTGGCAGGCCTCGGCCAAAGCGGGGACAACCAAATGTACTACACAATTGTTAATGAGAATGACAATCATTACATGAACGGATGCAACTCAATCACAAATGGCAATGATATTGACATCATCAGCGTCGTGCCTTTTTTGTCTGCCCGGCGCAGGTTGGTTGACAGTCTCAAGCCGTCAAGTTATGACAAAATCTGGGTAGCTGACAACGAACTTCTCCTTTGATAGATTTGACGCTCCCGCCGTGTCTCTTCAGACACTGGAATGGGAGACCTGCTTCTGTGAGATCGGTCACCCCCAGTCTCGCGTTGGTTTGCCAAGCGTTCTACGGTTTTGCTCACTTTCTCCACCTGCTTGATCATCACATTCAACTCTGACTTCAATTCGTGAAGTAATGCCAACGTCTCAATCAGCAAATCCATGCTCGACTCAACCATGACGCGCTGCGCATCGAAAGCTCCGGGCGCCCGCTATTGTCACTAAACCTTATAAGTCATACCCTGCAACAATATGCAACAATTAACAATCAACAAGTCAATAACTGTCGAAGAAAACGGTTACTTGCATCAGTCAGCGGTCTCAAGAAAAAACATTTTCCTTCCCCAACGACATGATGCTGGCGGCGAGGTTGAACGACTTTAAGTGCACTTTAAGTGC